AGGAGCCTGTGAGTTCTAGTCCCATATTTGGCATGAAAGCTGGTTGGATGACTTAGGGCCAATCACCAGACGACTGTGAATTCTAGTCCTGCCTTAGGTGTGAAGAAAGCTGGGTGATCTTGGACCAGTCACTTTTACCCAACGAATGGCCGTTGAAATCATACCAATTAAAATATATTTCAAAATACTGAGGAAATAGGAAGGTCTCCACCTGGCTAATTTGGCTGCTAGTCAAGTCTCTCTGGGAAGGGGATCCCCTAAAGGGGGAGCCCCACACCACCAAGGGCTCTCCCCTTGTAGAGACCCCCTCCCCCTCCTTCCGTAAGGAGAGCCTGGAGGAGAAAAACCTCTTTGGTGAGCTATAATTAACTAAGGGTCCTGTAGAGGCCTGCAATCTTTTAGCCTTACCTTTTAGTTAGAAGCCTAACTATTTCTTGCAAAACTATTGGCAGGAAATGGAGTGCTGTTATTAATTCTTCTCTTCCAGGGGTCAAGTTTTGCCTGCCCATACATTGTTGAACATAGTGGACGTGGAACTCATTTACGAAGGGAAGAAATATGTACTAAAGGTAATGTCGCACCAGATACACAGCTGAGCTGCAGAAGAGATTGGACAACCATTTGTCTGGAAATGGTCTAGGACAGGGGTCTTCAAACTTGACACCTTTCAGACTTGTGGACTTCCACTCCCAGAATTCCTCCTCCTCCAGTCATGTTAGCTCAGGAATTCTCGGAGTAGAAGTCCACAAGTCTTCAAACTTGCCAAGTTTGAAGACCCCTGCATTAAGGGTTGCTCAAATGTTGTGGCATGCCTTGGGGATTGTAAATATATTATGCTGAGTCAAGGTTGACTCAGCCTTCTGACCTTGCAAGATCAGTAAAACGAGGGCCCAAGATTATTGGGGGCAATAGGCTGACTCTGTAAACTGCTTGGAGAGGGCTGTAAAGTGGCATATAAGTCTATAAGTCAGGGGTCTTCAAACTTGACAGTTTTAAGACCTGTGGATGTCCACTCCCAGAGTTCCTCCTCCTCCAGTCATGTTAGTTCAGGAATTCCAGGAGTTGGAAGTCCACAAGTCTTAAACTTGCCAAGTTTGAAGACCCTTGGCATAGGGTTTCTTGTCTGAGAAGGGGGTTGGACTAGAAGACCTCTAAAGTCCCTTCCAACTTTGTTATTCTGTTTAGGAGTGATGGTGGCCGGGGAAACAGAACTTTATAGCCGTGTTCATAGTCAATTCTAAAAAATAATTGGTAAAGGAAAGCAAGGTTGCAAATCCATAGTGAGAGTGAGTGGGGGCGGTCCTTGACTTACAACAGTTCATTTAATGATGGTTTGAATTTACTATGGCGCTGAAAAAAGTGACATGACCGTTTTTCACACTTACGACCATTGCAGCATCCCTCAGGTCACATGATCAAAATTCAGATTCATATTTATGACGGTTGCAGTGTCCAGGCGTCATGTGAATTTCCCCCATTGTGATCTTGTGACCGGCAAAAAGTCGATGGGGAAGCCAGATTCACTTAACAACCAGGTTACTAACTTAACGGCTGCAGGGATCAGCTTAACAACGGTGGCAAAAAAGATCGTAAAATGGAGCAAAACTCACACAATTAGCTGTGTTGCTTAGCAACATAAATCCTGGGCTCAGTTGTGGTCGTAATTCGAGGACTGCCTGTATATAATCCTGTTTTTTACCGAGTAAACAAGGTGGTGAGAAAGAGCTCTTCCCAAAGAAGATCAAGCTTTTTTGGGAGAAGCTTGTGAGGAGGTTAGAGATTTTTACCCAAGGAAGTCCACCAAACCAGTGGCTAGGAGCAGGAACTGTATAGCCACAATACCATTTCTGCATGAGGATCTCTTGGGGAAGTTGCTTTGGGCTGGGAAGAAAGCTCCCTCCTCAGGTGTGAGCTGAGGGGCCACCCAAAATCATCCTAAGAAGGTTGAGGTGTTCTCTTATTATAAAGTGTTAATATTTGGTAAGGCCTCACTTGGAATACTGCATCCAGTTTTGGTCACCATGATGTAAAAAAGTTGTTGAAACTCTAGAAAGAGGGCAGAGAAGAGCAACAGAGGATTAGGGGACTGGAGGCTAAAACATTTTGAAGAATTGGTTGCAGGAATTGGGTAAGTCTAGTTTAATGAAAAGAAGGACTAGGAGTGATATGATAGCAGTCTTCCAATATCTGAGGGGCTGCCCCAAAGAAGAGGGAGTCAAGCTATTCTCCAAAGCACCTGAGGGCAGGACAAAAAGCAATGGGTGGAAACTAATCAAGGAGAGAAGCAACTTAGAACTAAGGAGAAATTTGCTGACGCAGAATAATTAATCACTTGCCTCCAGAAGTTGTGAATGCTCCAACAGTGGAAGTTTTTAAAAAAGATGTTGGATAACCATTTGTCTGAAGTGATGTAGGGTTTCCTGCCTAAGCAGGGGGTTGGACTACAACAAGGGTCTTCAAACTTGGTAAGTTTATGACTTGTGGACTTCAACTCCCAGAATTCCTGAGCTAACATGACTGGAGGAGGAATTCTGGGAGTTGAAGTCCACAAGTCTTAAAACTGTCAAGTTTGAAGACCCCCTGGACCAGAAGACCTCCAAGGTCCCTTCCAACACTGTTATTCTATTCTATTCTATTCTATTCTATTCTATTCTATTCTATTCTACTTCTTGCTCTTCCCTTTCTCACAGGTAGCTCGGCAGTCTCCAAACTCCTACGTTGTCATCATGTCCGGTTCCTGCGTGGAGCTTGACGTTCACCGGCTAAGTGATGGAGGTCTCCTTTTGTCCTATGATGGGAGCAGCTACACAACCTACATGAAAGAAGAAGTGGACAGGTAACCTTGGATGATTCCAGGGATGCTTGCAAGCAGAGGAACAGACCCTGGCATGCCATCCTCTAAAGGTTTTGAGGATGGTCCCCAAAAGGTCCTTCAACTTCATAACATTCCGTGTGACCAAAAGAAGATATTATCCAATCCATAAATGGGCAGTCGTCATACTTCCCCTTAAAATCAAATGAAAGAGGATCAAATTCGATTGCCCATTGCTGCTTTAGAGGCATTCATAATCATGTTGTGGTTTGCCGGCAGCTTGTGCAGACGGCAGCGGAGTCGGACAGTGGGAAAGAAAGAGGATCAATCTGGGACTCGGACAAGGATCCTGCATCCGATGCAGAGATGGGGCCTGGACCATCTGGGATGGGGTGCTGCCTCCGGAGCCTTTGGAGTCTGGCAGTAGCAAGGCAGAGGACGCAGGGGAGCCTGTTCCCAGTGCGTGGGTGCGCAGAGCTGCCAGAAGGCGAGAGCAGCTGAAACAAAAGGGGTGACTCGGGAGTAAGGCTGGGAGGTGATTGCCCCTCCCATAAGGTATAAAGGACAGGCAAAGATGACGAAACCTTTGCAGGAAGCAAAGTCGTTCGTTCGGTTCAGATTCATTCTTGAAGCTCTTTGTACACTGGTTGGTTTTTTTTCTATTTCATTGGACACTTCTGTTGTTGGCAGCATTTTACAGGGAAGAAAGGTGGGTGCTTATCTCGAGGGACTGTTTGAGATTCATTACCGGCTGGGAATGAAAATTATTCCCAGCGTTGCAATAAAACAGGACTTGTTTCTAAAATAAGCATGTGCGTAATTACAGTCTCGGAAGCCTTGGTCAGAACAAATCAAACCTACACACACACACACTTCCCATACACACCCATAAATATGCAATTCATTTTTAAAATATGATGCACCAAGGAAATCCGATATCCTCAACCTGTACAAACAAATGTGCATTGAGTAACTTTTCTTTCCTACAGATTTACTTCCAGGAACTTAGTTAAGGGAATGACAAAACTATCAGTAGGCTGAAGGGATGGTTCTGGGTGCTAAACATTTCCACTTCCAGAATACTGCAGCCTGGCATGATTGCAAACACAAGTATTCCTCAAATTACGACCATAATTGAGCCTAAAATTTCTGCTGCTAAGCAAGACCGCTGTTAAGTGAGTTTTGCCTCCATTTTATCACCTTTCTTGCCATGGTTGTAAAGTGAATCTGGCTTCCTCGCTGACTTTGCTTATCAGATTGGCACAAAAGGGGATCATGTGACCCCGGGACACTGCAACTGTCATAAATACATGCCAGTTGCCAAGCATCTGAATTTTGATCATGTGACCGTGGGGATGGTGCAACGGTTGTAAGTGTGAAAAACGGTCATACCTCATTTTTTTCAGTGCCGTTGTAAATTCAGTCATTCACTAAACGAACGGTTGTAAGTTGAGGATTACCTGTAAGAGGTTTTGGTGTCTACTCCCACCTGCCACTCCTCCCCCCTTGAGCTGAACATGCAATTGATGTGGAAATAAGGAGCATAGTACCGAGCCTAAAGTAGAACCAGGGTCCAGTAGTAGGTGCCAGCCATATACTTTCTGTCCCAAGGCCAAATCCTGGATTGTTTTGGAGGAAGCTAGCCAAGAACCAAGGTTTTGACCTAGGCTTCCCCAAAATGCATTAAGCAGACTCTTTGTCCCGGCAAAACCCCTTTTATTAAACAAAGGTGAATTTCTTGCATTCACATTCAGCCAAAGGCCTGGCAAACAGCCTTTCAAGGGTATCATTAGGAGCACAGACCTTATCTAGCTTGGAGAGCTGCCAAGTAAATATTTTCAAACGCGGTGCTGACAAGGAAGGACTCAGCACAGAATCTCTCAGATGCACAGACAGATCTTCATACTGCTGCAACGAACGGATTGTTTCCTGCAAAAAGCCCCTTCCCCTTTTGCTCCTCTTTTAATCGCTATGGGAGGGGCCATTCACCGTCCACCTGTGGCTTTACTCCTACGTCAACCCTTAGTTCATAATTGTTCTTTTCTTTTGGCAGTTCTGCGCATGTGCAGGCTGGGAACCGGCTCCAGCTGCTCCCCCGCCTCACTCCTGTCCAACTCCGAAGGCAGCTGATACCTGCCAGACTGCCCTGGCCCCATCTCTGCCTCTGACGCAGAGCCCTCCTCCGAGCCTTCCTCAGCCTCCAGGAGTGGCCCATGTTCCTCCCCAACCACCTCACTGTCCAACTCTGCTGCCAGCTCCGCTAGCCACCAGCGGACCACAACAATAAGGAAGGCACACAGCCTCTAAGGGTGGGGCTGTTTCTCTGCTGTCTTATCAGTATCTTAACTTTAGGGTTTGTGAATCTTCCACTCTGTATGCCTTTAATCTTGCTAAGGAAAATTCCACAGCACCCTGGCCCCCACCCCAATAAACCTTTTTTTTTTTCCAAGAAGCAAATGGACTTTCTGGTTTTTCTTTGAAGACGTTTCGCTTCTCATCCAAGAAGCTTCTTCAGCTCCGACTGGAGGGTGGGGAATGGAAGGACTGACCAGCAATCAAATGACCAGTTGTCTGCAAGGAGTATAAATCCTTCCATTCAGAGGTGCTATTCAGCAGGTTCTGACCAGTTCTGGAGAGCCAGTAGCAGAAAATTTGAGTAGTTTGGAGAACCGGCAAATCCCACCTCTGACTGGCCTCACTCCCATCTATTTTCTGCCTCCCAAGTCCCAGCTGATTGGCTGGGTCTTCTTTGGTTGCCCTGCACAGGAGAACAGAGCTGGAAAGCAGGTTAGTGGGATGGGGAGGGAATGGAGAATTTACAGTATCCTTCCCCTGCCACACCCACCAAGACATACTACGTGCACCAAGCCACGCCCACAGAACCAGTAGTAAAAAAATTTGAATCCCACCACTGCTTCCATTCCCCACCTTCCAGTCAGAGCTGAAGAAGCTTCTTGGATGAGAAGCGAAACGTCTTCAAAGGAAAACCAGAAAGTCCAGTTGCTTCTTGGAAAAATAAAAAGCACATTCTTGAGGATGCAATCTCGAAAAATAGATGTCCCAAAATGGATTCCATCCCTCTTTTCCTTCTAAGCTTGATTTCCACTTCCTGAATTGAATCTATATGGGACAAGGACTCCGAGGACCTGTTGTCTGATCTTTAATCGGGATATTTGAAAATGGGACAAAATTCACTTAACAATTGGTTTGCCTAACGCTCGAAATTTTAGGTTCAGTTGTGGTCGTAAGTCAAGGACTACCTGCACTGGACTTTCCATTGCGGTCTTATCCTTGTTAGATCACCCAGAGTCAGAGTGAGTTGGGTATCCATATGAATTTTCTTAGTAAAGAAATAACATTTTCTGTGTAGACATTTTCAATATTCCTCTCCTGCTTAGGTATCGCATCACCATTGGCAATAAAACTTGTGTGTTTGAGAAGGAAAATGACCCGTCGATTCTTCGGTCCCCCTCAGCCGGGAAACTCATCCAGTACGTGGTGGAAGATGGCGGACATGTCTTTGCTGGGCAATGCTTTGGTGAAATTGAGGTAAAAAAAACAAAACATCTTGTGAGCCTGTTAGACTGGTCTTCTTGGGAAAACCTTGTGATAAGGAACAAGCACACACTCACAAGCAGAAACAGTTTCTATCCATATGCTTGTTCAATCTCTCTCTTAATCTCTTAATCTCTCTTAATCAAAGTGAGATTGATTTTGGTTTGAATGTCCCAAAGGTGCTTTCTCAGGAGGCACCTGGATTTTCTTCCTTTCCTTTCCTTTCCTTTCCTTTCCTTTCCTTTCCTTTCCTTT